TAGACTGTAATACAAACCGTTCAGTTTGTCAACAATAAAACTGAAATGAGAGAAAGACTGAGTGTGAGACTTTGATATTAGATAAAATGAATATTGATAAAGTTTACCTTTATGTACAGAATCTGAATATCGCAAAATATTTTTAAAAATTGCAATAATATCATATCGTGTGTTAAGTATTGTGATAATATCGTATCGTGGGATGTATGGTGATTCCCACCTCTAGTGTTTAGCGGTTGTTGAAGTAGTTTTGTAAGCTTTAACCTGAGATTCTGGCATTTCTGGCAAAATGCATTTTTATTTAAAAATCGATTCAGGGTTTACTTTATTTTATTGAAGCTAAAATCGATTTGAATCTGGAAAATCAATTTTTAAACCCAGCCCTAGTTGACGGGACTCTTATGTAGACTAGCAGGAGCATTTTTGAATTTGGGTGGGAAGTGAGTCATGTACTTTCCCCCTTTTTATTTTAGTAAATGTTTCTCACTTTGTTGAACTGGCCTCTCGAGTGTTTTAGTGCTGTTTATCGAAATAAAAGTTCCTGCCTGTATTAAAACTCCAGCAGTTTCGAGTGCTTCAAAATAAAGTTTGGTTGTGTTATCTTAATGAGGCGCTGTCTATGACAGCTATTAAAGCAGGGCTCCCCAATCCCAGTCCACGAGGGCCGGTGTCCCTGCAGGTTTTAGGTGTGTCTTTGATCCATCACAGCTGATTTAGGATAAATTACCTTCTCAGCATGTCTTGAAGTTCTCCAGAGGCCTGCTAATGAACTAATCATGTGATTCAGGTGTGTTGACCCAGGGTGAGATCTAAGACCTGCAGGGACACTCGTGGACTGGGATTGGGGAGCCCTCTATTAAAGTTTCATTATCGCCTGTTCTAACAGAAGCATCACATGTTCAGTTTTCCTACGGCAGAACGGACCAAAGATTGTCCAGTTTTGATCCTCCTGTAGAAAACGTCGATCCCAAAACTGCTCGCTTTGTGTTTTCAGTGAGCTGAGCTCTTTTTCCTTTTCTACTATTAATAACAGCCACAAACCCATCGTTCTGTGATGTATGTTTTTTCAGTCTGATGTGTGGATAATCACCTGAATCATGGTAAAAAAATATTGCTCCAACACCTCAGACACATCTCCATAACACACGCTAACATACCAGACACCTACGCCTGAACGACAAAAAGCTGTCACTTCCCATGAACGTAATGAGTTCCCAGTCTGAAAAGGGCCGCAGACAACACGATGCCACGTCCTGTTAGAATCAGCAGGGCCAGAAGCAACCGGCAACGTTCACTGATCTACAACAACAACAGAAAAGGTCAGGTTTCAGTGTCATAAGCTTTTACTCAGACCCGTCCTGCAGCAGCTATAACACAGGAGGAAATTAAAGGAAGAAGCACAGAGAGAATGTTTC